GCCACCCCTTCCTGCCCTGGTGAGCGGCCACTCGGCTCCCACGGAAGTGCAGCGAGAGGCCAACACCCGCTGCAGCCAGGCCCGGCCCCCGGTTTGGCACCTGAACCAACCTCGGAAATGCACACCAGGCACCCAACCTCACACCCCAACCCCAAGCCCGCGCTGACAGAGCGACAAACACCTCTGCTGGGCAGAGAGGGACAGACGGACGACCAGGGACCTAGGAACCTGGCACAGGCGCGAGCATCTGTGGACCAGGGAAGGCAGCCCGTCACAAGCAGCTGCTTCCACCTGGACGCAACTCGTGCGGTGCGCAGGCCTGTCCCCTGGGACTCGTGTTTGCTGCCTCTCACCCCCTAGACGGGCCCTGCGAGCCCCCTCGGCCTGCCAGGCCACCTTCCCCAGGCCCACCTGGAGTCCCTTTTCCTTCACTCGCTCCCTGCCCAGCCCCGAACCCGGGGCCTCCACGGCCTGTGCCAGCCTGGGCTCCCACTAACGGGAGCTGGGGCTGCACCTGTGACTTCCCCCAGCCTCCGGCCTCGGGGACCCAGACCCATGGCTCTACGCGGGCCCTCCTTTCAGCCCACCCCACCCGCCCCCACCCCGGCTGGAGGAGACGCGCTGTGGGCACCAGGCTGGCTCCCCCGCCCGCCCTTCCACCGCCCCTTCCTGCCCTGGTGAGCGGCCACTCGGCTCCCACAGGAAGTGCAGCGAGAGGCCACACCCACTGCAGCCAGGCCTGGCCCCCAGTTTCGGCACCTGAACCAACCTCGGAAATGCACACCAGGCACCAACCTCACACCCCAACCCCAAGCCCGCGCTGACAGAGCGACAAACACCTCTGCTGGGCAGAGAGGGACAGACGGACGACCAGGGACCTAGGAACCTGGCACAGGCGCGAGCATCTGTGGACCAGGGAAGGCAAAGGGTTAACATCCCACCGGGTGGAACTGTGTGGGCCTGTGCCCGCCAGGCATGCTGGGAGCTGAACCCCCGGGAGGAAGGGGTCTCCCTCTTACCTGGCACATGACCACCACGCCCGGGACAAGAGTGAAACTGTGAAAACCGTGGGAGAGAGGAAGCGTTCTCATGGAAGGACAAGGAACGAATCGTTATTATTAAACAACAAAGATGCAAGGAAGAGCCCAGCACAGAACCAGCAGGACCAGGCACCTGGTCCCGGAAACCCATGGGGGTGTGGCTGTGGGACACGGGAGCAGCTCCAAAGCGCTCCTGGGGCCAGAGCTGATCAGTGTGAGCAACAAAACAAGCAATGCAAGCCTGGCTGGTGTGGCTCTGTGGTTGGGCGTCGACCTGTGAACCAGGAGGTCACGGTTCGATTCCCGGTCAGGGCACATGCCCGGCTTGCGGGCTCCATCCCCAGTGTGGGTCGTGCAGGAGGCAGCCGATCCATAATCCTCTCTCATCATTGATGTTTCTCTCTCCCCCTGAGATCAATAAATATATGTATAAAATAAACTACAGCAAAGCACATTTAAAGAAAAATAGAGGCAGAGATGTCTGGCTCTCTGTCGGGCACTCGGCAGCCTGATGGGAGATGCTGGTGTGTGGAGCCCACCTCCGGTCAAGCGAAGGAGAAGGCCTGGGCGGGGCCTGAGCATCGAACACTCCTGAGTTCCCACAATGCTCCGGGGCGGTGGGGGCCGAGGCCACGAGCCAGGTGCCACCTGAGTGAATCCACGGGCTTCCGGGAGTCCGTGGCCGTGCGCACACATTCCCGCTCTGACAGAATGAGCGCGAGCTGCGGGCTGACCTCCCAGCCACGTCTCTAAAGCTTTCATTGTCGGCGGGTCCCTGCCCTCCGCTCTGGGAGGCGGGTGTAGCCAGGTGCTGGGGGTTCACGTTTCCTCGGGTTGTGAACATGCAAAGCGGCCTGGCCAGCTGGGGACGCAGGTGTCCACTCCCTCCAGCGGGGGTCACTGTGGCCTCAGGGCCAAGCCGGCCCTCCTGCCACCGCCGGCCTCCCAGCCGACAGGA